ATCTTAATCTAAACTAAAAGAAAAACTCGATAATTCAAAAGTGAGAGTACGATCTCTCTCTGATTGTTGACCTCATTTTGCTTGGGTTTTATATACTATAAAACAAAGCCTGCTGGAAAGACAATTTTGCGCAAAAACCTTCGTCAGCGAATTGCGTGAATAGGGTTCCTGGCATCACTGATGACGTGCATTTGTCGAGTTACTGGTCTTCTCGTGTTATTTACAGTTTTTCATCTGTAGAAACGGAAATTGTGTAGTAAATCACTTATGATTTTTATTTCCCTTTTTACAAGCGTGGGGAAAGGCCTTTTGTTGTTTAAAAAAGAACACTCGAGATTTTTCTCAGAAAAATGAATAAAGGAAACCAAAGTTCTTACGGGAATTTAAACGCTATTTAAGCCTTTTACCTTTATAAACCTTAGACGTTTCTAGCGAAACTTCCAAAACTCATAAGGCTAGGAAATAATGACAATTACATGTAGAGGCAGATCTAGAAAATTCAGAAAGGGGAAGCCGGGACACTTGCCAGCTATATAGATACTATTATTTAACCGAGAATTCTTTTAAAAAAAATACAAAATTTCATAGAAAAAAGGGGGCCGCGGTCTCCTTGGAACACCCCGAAATTCTCCCACGAAATAAATCCTCCCCAGGCTACCTTTTTCAGCCAACCGGTTTTACAAGCGGATTCGCTTTGGCCCTACTTGACGCAGAATGCTTGCACTCCTGCACCGGTGTATATTGCCGCCTTACCTTGGTTATTCAGTCCCCATAAAACCGTGGTCACTGGTAACCTTAATAAACCTTTCTCGTGAAAACACCGAAATAGTGGTTCGCTTAAACAGTTTCTAGCATCCGCCCAGAAAAGATGACGGATTTAAGTAGCAATTTTTAAAATTTGATTTACATCTTTAAATAAGAATAAACTGAGTCCAATCAGCTTATCACTGAGAGTGTGTTTCTCTGCAAAACCCTATCGTGGGATTCAGTTAACATTGTTTCAAGTAAGTAAAGGTCACGATCAGTTGACGTGTGTGTTTTGGCACAATATGCTATTTCTAGCTTCGCTGTTCCAAGGGGTTCCAACATCAAGTTGATCAAGGTATCGTAGTCCTCGGCCTTACACCATCGTCAAATAATTTATAAACTGATATATTAACAACTCCGTTCTGGTCAGGAACAGGGGTAAGAGTCAAATTCTAGATCTCAAATCGTCTTCCGAAAGAAAAGTGTTTACAACAGTCCGTGTTGGCACTCACAAACAATGGATTATGGGTGAGGTGAGAATTATTCTCTCAAACACTGACAGAACAACGGTGTCAGTTTACGTTCAATAGAAATTCTGAATACAGTAAACTCTCTCTAATACGGACACCTTTGGGACCAGCACTAAGTGTCCCTCTTAGATAAATGTCTGTCTTACTGAGAGTCAAATAAAGGGAGTAAAGAAAGGCAGGGAACAACTCTAGGTGTCAGTTTTACAGGTGCCTGCCTTATAGAGGTGTCCATTAATAGAGAGTGGACTGTACCGCCTTGAGCCACCTTCCGATAAAGGCAAATTAAGGTGACATTGGGCACAGCTCCTGCTGACAATTTTCATTAAAATGGGATAACTTTCATCGCTGAGCCAGGCCTGTCAGTAAGGGCTGGAAGCTGGCCAAAACTGCCAGCTAGTAAGCCAGGGGTAAGAGTCAAGTGTACCGTTTTGTTTAGTAGCTCACTTGTTTTTCCCCACAGCGCTTCTTTACAAAATAGCCTCTCGGACATCCGGTTTAAAAGAATAAGACTTGAGTATTCTGACGATAGCCGGTACTCCATCACTTACTCAAAACGCGGGGGATAAAAAGAATTACATTTTTTTATTATATTATTCCCTCTGACCATGCTTTGCGACTTCCTGACATCCGCTTTCATTAAACCGTGAAGTGTAAATGTGGTCATTACTTATATGTCGATCGATTCTCATCCGTCATCTGGGAGTGTCCTTGACAACTAAAACTCTAAATGTTAGGATATTAGGGCATTCCATTTCTAACAAGGGAATCAAAAGGATGAAGTTTTTATTTAGCTATAGGTCCTCTGGCTATAAGTTCGTAAGGGTCTTACCCTAATTTTATACTACTAGTAGAGGCCCGGATAAAGGTACTAGATCATCGACCTAAACCAGATTCAGTGACCTCCACCGGTTGAAGTGAAAACGGGGTTTTGTTGTCGATGCTTATTCTCAAATTCGAAATCGTTTATTACTGATCGTCTAGTACTTCAAATCAAAGAGGGGGAAAAACATTTACTGTAAACCTACAAACATCAAAATAAATGGAAATCACCGAACTCGATATGACATTTTTTATTTCGCCCCCACTGTTCATTTTTAAAAATTGCTACTTCCTGACATCAAGTTTTAATGATGGCGAGCCGTTATATAATTTTTTGATAAGTAGTTATTTCCTGTGTCGAGCGATTCTTGTCAATCTCTGATCACGCAGGGCTAACGTCAAACCATTATAAAACCTAATGCTGATAAGCAAAGTCTATTCTTCTAGCCCAGTTATTACTTGGTTCGTAGCAAGTAAAGTTCGCCTCATTAGTCTGTAACCGGGGGTGTGTTAAGTCTGTTAGAAAAGATGTAGCTTTGTTACAGCTATAAAAGCTGCTTTTGGGAATTACCTAACCCTTAATAGTAAAGAAATAAAAGGTGCGGAAAAAGGTATTTAACCCAATGATCGGTATATCCGAAAGGTCACTGTTCTAACATGAAAAAACGTATTACTGCATCAACGACTAGGAAAACCTTTTTTTCTCTTTTTTTTATTATTGTAAAGGTAAAAATAAATACCAGTATTAACAAGAAATAAAATGAAATTCAACAACTATACAGTATATTAATAAATTGCTTTGAAACGTTCCGTATTTAATACAGGGAAGAAACTGGCTTGTTTGGGCTCTCAAACGTTTCGAAGATTCTTTAACTCTAAGCAGAAAGTTGTACAAAGGATGGGTAGGCTGCCTGCTTTAGTCATTAATAAATCACTGATCGTCTACCTCATAAACTCAAAAAATAAAACAAATACAACAACAAACCGATGAAGGAAAATACTGACGCACACACACCGGTATCAAAATGACGGAATTCTCTGTCTTTTACGGTCTTTTGCGTAAGCTACGTCCGCTGGGCTTTCACGAGTCTATAACCACACTTCTGTACTTGCACTTGCGACTTCCGTTACCTTCTATAATCAAGAGATGTTTACTTAGGCTACAGTACTATTGATACTACAGCTATTTTTGACAGGATTGTTCAACGTATTGACACAATTAATAAAGTATTTTCTATATTTGAGAATCTATTCATTCCAACGGAATGGAGTGATGAACTTCCCTTAGAACTGAAACTACCGTAAACTGAGCATGCTACAATTGCAGTGACATGAACATGCCCGTCGATGCTTGAAATGCCGTAAACTGATCGTTCAGATATTTCTTGCATTTTGTAACACAAATCAATAAACGGTGACATAAGGGTTACAATATCTTCAGGATTAATTTGTCCTTCACAAAGGATGAGTTTAGCTGATTAGATTAGAGAAACAGAGGTTCCCGTGCATTGAGAATTGTTGAGGTCGTCTGCTAGATCGTGTGTCATTCCAAACAACAAGCGTCACCTGCCTTTTCTTATTAGCATACCGAGAAGTGTGCAGATTTTCACGGTACTAAGCGTGCAAAAAAGTCAAGCTGCTCCTTTTACAACAAAGGTAAATTTAATCATGATAATAAAATAATAAGAAGAATAACTGAGACTCTTTTGTAGTATACTTTTTAGTCAGGTGCTCGGCCACAGTCAGTTATCAAGCTTCAACGTGAACTCAGTTAAAGACGAGCGTGCTACTTCATGCATAATCACTGATTACTTCTAGTAAGCAGAATAATAACGGTGAGATAGACATCGAATATCAAGGTATAAAGCCGCTGTATAAATCATTCCTCGGCGAAGCGCGTCTTACGGGCATTTCATCTTTATTACGGCCAGAAAATCTTTAACGTCAAAAGATGTCAAGTCTTTCGCAATGTTTATCAAACAAAAGACGACCTTTTTTAAACTGGTGTCCGATTTACTGCGGATTAGTTGTTCTTTTCCTATCATGTTTGATTAGCAAAAATGGTGACAGGGTCATTTAAAACAAGTGTCACGAGTCATGTACAGTCTGAAAACCTAGAAACAACAAGATGCTCAGTATAGCTCTCTAGCAATAGTCTTGCCTTGGGTGACAAGGTATTTTAGTCGCCAAATCCATGTCGAAAACCGACGGCGAAGATACGCCGCGGACAATGCAGCGGAACGCCTCAGGAGCTTTTTTGAACGGCCATCAGTGATGTTTAGTTTTCAGAGCGGACCACCGGAGTCAAGAACCAGTTTCTTGGTCCGAACCTTGAAAAGCAGGGTTATATTCGACCCTCAATCAAACTGATAAAGAGCAGACAGCTACCATATAGGAATATTTTAATAAAAAAATATCCCTATATGAAATGGGATTTTTTAAAAAGAAAAAGAAAAACACTCAGTAGCATGTTTTTGGTTTAAAAACCGTCAGATCCACAAAAAATTGAACAAAAAATCGAGCTATAATGTTGCAACTTTCCATTCCATTTTTGTTTACACTTCGACAGCTGTGAATCGCAATCTAAAAACGTGTACTTAGCTCAAAGCAAACTTTCGTAAAACTCTATTGACTTCTACAGTATAACGTCATATTTAGCATCTAATACTTTTCAGTTACGTTTGCTGTCAGGTCCGCAAAGAATTTTCCCCGTTTTTTGATTGGTTGAAAGTGCGGAAAAACTCGCGATTGGTCAACCCATCGTGAATATAAATTCGTTCAAATTTGCATTTTTGGCTAAGTGGTTTTAGGCAACATATCGCTCGGCAACAATAAACAATGGCAAGTTTCATGCAAATTTGGTTTTCTTCGACGTAAAACATTACGTCTTCTCTGTTTTTGGTCATGTGCGACTGCCTATTGATGCGTGGAAATTATGGCGGTCGGTTGGAGAAAAAGCAAATGAAGTTCCCAACGCGAATCGCTATTTCTTTGGATATGAACGACTATGAAATTGGAGTCGACGATTTTCATTCTGAACAAGATCTCGGTGGAGAAAACTGCGGGTATGAGCGAGATTTTTGCAACGGAATAAGCGAAGACGGGCAAGATTTGGCAGATGTGGAAGGTGAAGGAGATGATGACATTTATCGACAGTTAGCACAGAAGGAGAAAGATCTTTTACTGGCAGCTGAACTGGGAAAAGCTTTATTGGAAAAGAACGAAGAAGTTAACCAGAAGTATGAGATGTTACAAGAGGAATATTCTCAAGTTGTGGAAGTAAGCGTATTGAATGAAAATTTCTTTTCCGACCTCTATAGTATTACGCGCGACTGAATTTGTTTTGTAATGGAACTGGTTGTCAGTAAGCTAAAACAATAACGTTTAGGTGCCGTTGAATTTTTTCACAAGGAAAATTTTAACCGCAAATTTATATTTCTTTTTAACAGGAGCTGGAACAAGATAAATACGAGCTCAAATTAAAAGTGGAACGCTTACAAGGTGGAAATGACTCGCGAGTTCACGAGCTTCAATCTGATTTAATAGCGCTACGAAATGAATTGAAAACACTGCAATCCAACTCAAAAAACGACCAGCAAACTAAGAGGGAAACGTTTGCTGGACTCACGGAAGAGAACGAACAACTTCACTTAGATTTACAAAAGGTAAGAGGCGTTTTATACAAAGGAACAGTGAAGGAAGTTTCCCGGGCGGGGATGGGTTTGGAAAAGAAGGAATTTTTGCTGTCGTTTAAAATCACGAATGCAGCCAGCTATATGACCACGATAATATTATTTTGTGTTCGGAAGAGCACCAACAAGGAAATGTTGTGGGTCTTTTTTCCGGAAATTTAGTGTGTAAATAAAAAGTTAACTATTTTTGGCGGATTAGGTTTATCGTGTCTCAAAACCCTTTTGCGAAACCCGATCCAACCTTGTAAATGGCTAATTCGAGCGATAAGAGATAGAGGAAGTAGCTCGATTTAGAGTCGTTGCAGTTTTTGAATTCGCTACAATGAGCAGTGAATCAAATAGGAAACCTCGAACTGAGCTTTAACCGATACATAAAAAGATTCGACTGGTTGTGTTCTGGGGGTAATCTTATTGCTTTTGAGGAATTATTTAAGGTTGTAGCATTCCATATCGTGAATTGCATTGTCGCCAAATCTCATTTATACATTGACAAGATCTTTTATGCGCTCTTGACACAAAGTACATAACGATCTGAAACACGATTTTTTTTTTTGATGTGGCGAACTACGACCACTATCTTGAACGTGGTCAGGAATATTCCGCGGACGTCATTCTCCTTTAAAAATCAGTGATTTCTATCTCCGTCATCTCCGTGTGGGTAATGATTTTTAGACTATGCATGACTAAGCACATATATATCTATAGATGGGCCTCTTGTTCTCTTCACGCGAATTCTAGAAGACCTAGAACAAAGAACCGCATTAACTATATGTGAAATTTTTCCACTAATGTTCTTCGCGAAATAACCTCGAGTTTCTAAGTTGATTTCCGTGTACAAATTTTTGAGGAAAAGTTAGTGGAAGTGGAGGTTACAGTTGTTGATTTCAAAGGTATTTGCAATATCCACTGCATCAATTGTACGTGTCAATCTCTGAAAGTTTTGACGGTCCGTTATGTGCCTTCGAGAGCTTTACAAACAGTCTTTAGACTAAGATTTTACAAAATAGGCCTCATTCTTAGAGAGTACGAGACGCTTAATTTTATTGGTTTGTATACCACTCTCCTACTGGATCTCCATTTATTTTGACCTGTTACTGATCTTGCAGTGATATATTCTCATGTTCTTTGTTGAATAAAAACTGTATGTCCTTTGGAAACGAGCACTAAATGATAATTCACCAATATCACAATATAGAAATAGCCCTCTCGAAAACAAGCATAAATCTCTTCGCCGTGTTCTCCTTTTAAGTCTAATAACAAAGAAAAGAAGCATACTGAGAGGTCCCTCGTGGGTCTACAAAAGTTTGTCTGCATGTACTACTAAGAGAGTTATGTAAACCATGTGCACGAAAGTTCCATTGTTTACCTTCTACGACAAAGGGTCTTCAAGAGAGAGAGTGAAGCATGGATTATGCTGTAAGCAATATTTTAGACAACAAAAAAATGCATGATTGTAGAGCCTTTGGGCTCACTAAAAAGGTGAATTGAGACAAATTAATTGCTTCTTGAAAAATGTAACTCTTGTAAGGTACCAGCGTAAAACAAAACAAGACATGTACCAACTCTTAAATTATGTATGTGAAGGAAGTCTGTCTAACATAATAACTCTGTGGGAAATGGTTGATCCATTGTTTGTGAGGAAGAAGAAAGTCACGCACGAGGGTCTATGCGTTGAGAATGTTTTTAAACTTACAAGTGACGCTTCATAGCATATTGTTTTGTTATGTTTCATATCTCTGCTTCATATTATGGAAGTAAATTTTTTTCTCAAGCAGCTCCGAAGTATATAAGAGAGTATATAAGAGATAATAGTGTTTCAAAGTGAAATGGGGTCTCCATTGACACACAGTAATTTCCATTTTCATAGTTTTTGCTAATGATATTTTCAAAATACCACTGCTTCCTATTGTTATATTGGCTTACAATCATTGCTTTGCCGAAGATTACTTTTGCTATTTGCTGTTGTGCTCTATGCTGATCAGTGGTAAAATTCAATTATTTGTGGTTGTTTTGTAGACTTAAGCCCTGACTGTTGACCAAGCATATGAAAAAAAAAAGTTTGAAAAACTTTCCACAGTAACTCATTATGTGTTTCCCTCACAAACAATCATTATCATGTGCAGAGTGAGTGCAATATAGGCCTTTTTGGTGACAGCATTTTATCACTTTTTAGAAACAAGTGTTATGGAAACTTTTGAATGTAGAGACCCCAGGGCATCCACAGAAACCAGTAATATTAAATAACTAAGTCACTTTGGATGTACTATAAAATCTTACATATGAGTTCAAAACATGGCCACAGAAGGTTTTATGGTAAAATGGCAGACATTTTTTCCCTTTATTCTCGTTATTAGAACCTAATTTGAGGCTTTTTGCTAATTGACCTTTAGCATTGTTTATAGAACACTTGCACATTTTGGTGGAAATTAATTTTACACAGAACAAAATCTGTCAGACTGTTGTGTTCTCAGTTAGATTGTAGCGATGGGTGGGGTGTCACTCGTAAGTGTTAAACCTGTGAGTTAAAGTGTTACCTGCACCCTGGAAGGTTTGGAGGTTTCAATATGAAAGTGATAACTATATTTTGTAAGGTTATACCATTGAATACAAGTTCCATTCAGTTAGTGTTACTATTTTGTTGCTTCTGACATGGTGAACCAGTGTGAATCTTTTAAAATTATTTAAATACGTTATCACCCACATAACTACATGTACTAAAATACTATATCTCCTTAGCATTCTGGAATAAGACGGAATATTTCAACTTACATTTAATATTCTGAATAATATTATTTCCCAATAGAAACAGACCAATTTGAGTCAATTTGTTGTTCTATATTCAGCAGATATTATAACAACTAAGGAGTGTCTGACCTAAAGCAAATATAATGAGTTATCTCTTGAAACATCCCGAAAAATAAAGAAAAGGCAAAAAAGGAAACAATATAAACTTGGAACCAACTGTGATTGTTTTAATTAGATAGCCTGATCAGATTTCCAGCATAAACGTCTAGACAGCAGTATACCATTGAAGGTACTAGATTCCATTAGTCCAGGGGAAAAGATCTATAAAAGGTGTTATGCTGCTGCAAAGTTAATATTTTCCTCACTTTTTCTCACGTTGTTGATACTAAACATCAATATGACATTTAAAAAAACAGCGATAATGCTCAAATACACATTGGTGATTTTCAAAACTTTAGCTGATTACAAATATTGAAGACAAGGGTCTAAAAATTGGTTTGCCATATTCTGGAAAGAGAATGAATTTAAATGAAGTTTATTTAATACCTTTTGGACACATTGATACATGTTAGTTTGCCTGGTTTCATCTATACCTTGGCTGATATACAATTTATTCACATTAACTCCACATTACAGTGGCCCCCAATTAAGATGGTTAGGATTTGATAGCAAGCATTTTTTTTGTGTTTTCTCCAAGATTCAGAAATATGATGACCAAACAAAAATATGTGAAAATGCATGGCTTTCAAGTAAGAGAAAGTTAAAAATCAAAACAACTGTTTGGAAGATGTTTCTGAATATATTTTTTTACAGTGCTAGCCTTGGATTTCTCAAGAATATAACATTGCCCCATGTTGACATTCAATATTGCACTGTAATGGTCAAATGCCCTTGGATACAACTATACCTTACAACCCTCCCTTATTGGACATCTTCCTTAATTGGACATCTTGATTTGGTCCTTGCCTTTATTTAGTCATGTTCTTTGACTCTCTATAAGGTAGAGCCTCCCTATGGGTATTTCCAAAGAAACTGAAGTCATAATGAATGTTAACAACAATCTTGAAGGTTAAATTTAAAGGGATGATCGCATTGCCATTCTGATCAAGTTTGACGATGTTTGCATTGATAGCAAAAAACTGCCAAAAAGTGTGCTGCATGTTCAGAGTTTTAGTTTTGCTTGTTAAACCTGCTGCCTGTTTTATTTTCTCATTCTCTTCATTGTTGCTGTGGTTGCTCAAGCTCATTAGTAGCATAACCAGGCAGAACAATTCTTGATATGCGACAATTTCAGTGAAAAATCAACAATTTAATGGACAACGAGAGACGTCCATGTTGCACCCATACAGAGGCTCAAGGCAGTAAGCTCACTTAAGATGGGCACTACCAATCCCTGCAATGATGTTCACCTTACAAAGATTTATTTGACTATAAACTACTGGGGACAAAATTCTATGATGCCATACGTCTACTATGAAATGGAGGCCACACCAGACCAAAAAAAAACCGGTGCAATGTTTCATCCGTTGAATTTCAGGCCTCATGCAAAGTAGTCGGCTAAAACTGATGACAATTCAAGCTGTCATTATTTATGCCCACAGAGTTGTAATGTGGAATAAAGCTCTTAAATATTAATCTGAGGTGTTCAAAAAAGTTTTAGACAATATATTCAATTTCTTATCATCTGCTTCACTATTAATTTTGCAATCACACATAGGAGGATTTGTGTATTGTTAAAACACCGCAGTGGTTCATAGACACAAAAAAATTAGATTTGGTAAGAGTTGTATGTTATTACAACATCTTTATAGGTCACTAGTTGTAATTTAATTTTTAGACTGTGGGGAGTGTAAGTAATTAATAATTAATTAGAATGAAGACAATTTTGTATTACATGAGGTAAAGCTTAAACTTAATCATACATGTACTGGTATATAAATAAAGTTTTATCACTATTACTTTTTTACAGAGGTAAACTGGTGTAATTTATCTTGTAATAATTTTTTTAAAAATCACCTCAAAGCCAGGTGTTTAATAATAATAATATTATTATTTCTCAATCTACCTAAAAAAGTAGGAGGGATTTAAGTTAGCTAAGTCCTCTATAGACACATGTTTACTCTGTTTCAATAAATTATCAATAGCATTTTATTCATAAAGTTTGTGGTTTGGAAATACCAACTTCATGAGAGGATTCTCTTAGAATTGGTAATAGAATTCAAACCATATTAACCTCAAGTGCCTAAATGTCTTACTGTGCTTACTTTTAATTAGAAGCCACATTAAGAATCCCTCTAAGCTGAATGCTTTGGTTATTTTGAAGCAATGAAAAAGCAGTTTTCCTTTAATAGCAAGGCTAAGGAGAAAAAAATATAAATATGAAAGTATAGATTATAAAGAAAAAATTATATTCTAACCAAAAAGTAATTAAAATTAAATAGTTGTATTTTCTTCAACAGTAAAAAGCATGTGGTCTGTGGGAAGCATTTGAACCTTTAAAAATCCAACTCAAATTCAAAAGAATTTGAAATTTGATTATCTTTCAAATCCACTTCGATTTCAAATCCCCAAGAATCAATGAATGTTTTCATTCAACTAATAATTATTTTACGCTTTTTTTGTTTCATGTCACCATGTTCCCAATAATAGACTACTGCAGCTCTGCCATTATATAGAGGAAAATATAGAGGATTTGAATTTTATATTTAAGTGACAAAAATGATGCAAATTAATGAGATATCATTTTTGCCATAAGAACATGAAAATTCATATCTTTGAGCTAATGAATCACTTTCTTTTTAGGGTTTAATATACATGTGTGTACGCCATACGACCAAAAATGGAATAAGCTCTTCTATACATGTGGCTCTTGTTAGCTCTTAGTTTGACTTAACCTTTTTTTACTTAAATTTCCTCGAGACAAGCAACAAGATGGTACATTTCCAGGAATTAAACAAGTTTATTATTAGCTGCTAATCAATACTGGTATCTTGTCTTGATTTTAGATTAAGACAGAGAATGAACAACTTAAAAGAGATCATAGCCTCCTTAAGAAACAGCTTAGCAGGAAAATAAGCTTTGATGATGATGGTTTACAACAAGTGGAAATTGAGGAACTCTGGGAGAAGGTACTTTTTTACTTTTTAAATCAAATAAAAATAATATTAATACTGTTATTTACCTACTGCAGAAATATTATTTAACAAAGGCTAATGGAACTGAGCAAACAACTAACATGGAAAAAAAATCAAAGAAACATAATTGGGTTAAAAATCCCAACTGGCTGGAGGCAAACCAGTGTTTACAATAATATTGTGTTCAAGGAATTGAATTCAGACTACTGAGAACAAATCAGTCAATGAGTCATGTTACATTACTAATAGTAGGAGTACTGTCAGTCCACTAGACCTAGTGTAGCTGGTGTAACTGTCATTGTTTGCTTTTTATTGCATTGTTGATATTTGTTTAGCGTCTTTTTAAACTTTTTATCACTCCGGTGATTGTACTATCTGCAAGACTAAGGAACTACCACTGTCAAGCTGAGGGTTGCCAAAGGTAGTAGGCTTCCAGCTAAAGTTCTCTGAACCTACTACATATATGGCCTCTTGGCCAGATAGCTCTACTGCACTCTTTGTTAGAAGTAATAGAGGAGAGGGCACCCTACATCACCTACTGTTGAAAATATGGCTTCCTATGGTGTATGACAAAATGTTGTGACAATATCAACAGACTCTTACCCAGCAAACCACCTATTTATTCTCACAAAGGACTATGGAAAGGAGCTTGAGAAAGAGGGAGGAAATGCGTTTCTCTTCTTTCTTTCTCTTGATGCACTGTGAACTCACTAAATCCTTCCAATTATCACAGCACAAACACATAAAAGCAACTGGGTACGAGTCTGCAACATAAAGCCTAAGAGCTTCTTCAATGTTTAATAAAATAATATTATTATCATCTCACCAGCTTGCAACGCTTGAAGAAGAGAAGCTCAGTTTGACACAAACTGTTTCAGGCCTCGCAGCAACCAAAGAAAACCTTTCAAAAGAAGTAGAGGAACTTTTAGCAAGAAATCAGTCATTGGAGAAGAAACTTACAGCAAGCAAGGGGCAGGTAATTATTAAGCTACCTTCTCCATTCAACTTGGCTGATGGAGAATTTTCCTCTTATTAAATATATGGAGAACAATGGGCGAAGGTTGATGTAACTCGATGTTATGAGTTATGATATGATTGCACAACTTGACACAAGCCTGTTTAATTTTGGAAAATATGTTACACATATTCTTTGAAGCTAGTTAATAAAAAAGCTTCCACAGAAAAAATCTTGGGCCAGGAGAATTTTATGTGATAGATCAAATAGTTCATTTATAGGATGGGGAATTCACAATGAAAATAACCCAACATCAATAGGATATAAGCTTATTGACTGTTTTTTTTTCTTTTTGTCATTTGCTAAAGTTTTATTATACATGTTTGCTGTTATTTAACATGGTCTCTTCTTTATAATAACAGTTTTTGTCTGTCTAATTATTGAATTACGTTCTTCACTCTTCACAGCTGGCAAATTGTGAAGAAGAACTTAACGAATCAAAGGATCTCAATGCGTTTCTCCAGGAGCAAATCGACGATATAAAGCTTCAGGTAAAGAATATGATACCTACCTTAAATGATAGCTTGCTCTTCTACTGCAAGGAATTCAAAATATATAAAACACAGAGTAACACTCTGGGACCTGAACAACAATTAACTCGTTGTCAGCCATTTTTGATTTACGTAACAAATGTTGGGGAGACCTGGGAATAACGTATCGTCACCGCGCCACCCAGCAAATCACAGTTTCAGTTAATTAGTCTGTCAGTTTTCGTATAGGTAAAAGATTCATTCACAGTTTCAGCTTCTTTCCTCCAAATGTGCTTTTTTTACTTGTGCATTAATATTTTAGCCTGCGTAAAGCCACCCCTCCCCGATTTTTTCTGAGGGGAGGGGCGGTAGTGCACAGGCTAGGGTACTTATGCGTAGAGCAAAAGGAGCGCAGTAGTAGCAAGAGCTGTGGCTGTTTGCTCTTGGTAGTAGTCATCAAAATGTATCCTATATTTCTATTCTGCTTATTGTTGCATGTAGTTTTTACTTTCATATTTTGTAAGGGGTTGGTTTGTTGCCTAACCGGCTTTTACCAACCTAACCGAGATGATGACGAGGCTCGCTACTATCTACTATAGATACACCTTAAGGCGGCATCTGCATGTCATATTGTTTATATATCCTTTTTTTTTCGCATATACACAGATATTTGTCATATTACACACTTCTGATCTTAAAGACTAGCCTACAGCAAATCAGTTATTATTTTGGGAGGTCCTTTTTTACAATCAAGAATTCTAGGAGTATCAAGACATTAAAATGAATGGGAGGGAGTTTTCCACCATTTCTTTATTTCATCCATCCTATGGCTCTTGATCCATCGTATTCCATTTGTGCTTCTTTTCTGACATCAACAGGCATCAATGGACCAGTTGTCAAGAACATCATTATTTTCTGAAATCTCTGACTTGTCTGTGATTGGAGTTGATGCAGGCAGCGATCATTTGAAAAAGCTAGACGCGAGCACGACGAAAATAGTGAGTTAAACCCTCTGTTAAGGAAATGGCCTCAGCTGGATTTTTTCTGGCTTTTTCATATTTACCAAGAGAGAATAATTATTCTCTTGACAAAACGTCTTAGATTACAGTCGACTCTCTCTCTCTATAAGATGCCACCTTGCTAAAACAGACACCCAGACTTTCTGACTTTTTTTCCTCCTTTTAGCTGACTCCCTTTAAAACAGACCTAAAACGAACACATAGTTCCGGTCCCAAAGGTAACTGTCTTATACTGAGAGAATTGACTGAATACGCCACACTAAATAACTTATATAGAACACGCCCTTTGACTGGAATAACCACATAACTTTCAAATGCAATAAAAACTGTGTTGATTTAAGACTTCTAAATTCCCCTTTTAGATAACGAAATCGATTTCTTTTTAGATTGGTACAGAGCAAAGACCAGTCGCCAGTCTTCACGGTTCACCAAAGCCATTAAAAGCATCTTCTTCTCTGGGCCTGGGACTAAACTCCAACAAGCGTCACAGGCCGTATAGCAGCCTCAGTGACGAAGAGACAGATGACAGTGATTTGGAATACGATGAAGATGAGGTGGAGCTCAAGGTGGGCACTGTAGCGAGAAATAGAGAATTTTATGCTCAGCTTGAGGAAGAGGAGAAAGCTAACGCTCAGGTGAGACAGTGATTTAGACCTACTTTGCACAATTTTAGCCTGTTCCATGCAGGCGTTCAGATCAGGGCGGATAAAGGTTGGGCGGTGAAACGAGCGCTCCGCTCTTCATTTAATGTTTGATGCGGAGTAGGACTGGCACGAACGCTCTTTCCGCGCTTCGGGTGCGCTTGAAGGCCGGCGAAATTTTCCTTTTTGCAAACCGGAAATCCTATTTTCTTTCTGTAATTTCAGACTACAGTGTTAAATAGATAAATTCGTTTCATAACAATATCAATAAACAGTTTCATATGTTTGTGTCTCTTTGCCTATAAGTCAAACTTGTTGGTCGTATAATGCCAAAATTTGAGTTTAATTTGAAAGTGTTGAATACCTCCTCCTTCCACTAAATATCACCTAATCGTTTTTCGCCGTTTCGTTTGCAAAAGCTTAACACCGTCAACCTCAATTTTTACATATGTTAAAGGGGGATAAATTTTATATATCATAACAAAAAATTAGATTGATATATATTGATATAGTGGCGTTGTACTGCTTCAAACTTTGCTTCTCGGGTGCAACGCGCCATGGCGATTCGCGCAATGCGTCGCAAATCCGGCAAGCGCGGTCAATCAGACTCATGAGAAGAGGTCCTTATTACCACGGTAGTCATCACCTAAAGCGTGAAGAAACGAAACTGAAAGATAACAAAAATTTTCAATATTCGAAGAAAATCAAACGGAAAATGCATTCAAAATAAAATCATCTAACTTTCAGTTGCACAAGTTATTTTTCAACACCAGGTTATATGCTTCTGACACCACTCATAATGTTATTAGGTACACTTTTGAAATGAATGATGTGTCACAGTTAATAGTTAATGTAACAAGACAAAGATTGTTACGTGTAAATAAATATTGATAATTCTAAGAAAAGTAAATCTCTTTTTTTGTCATTACTTTCAAAAGGACGTACACAAACATACCATAAAATTTCAAATAACAAACACACAAATTGCTGATCTGTCAACAGTTGAACCAACTGCACAGATTTACTTAACAAAAACAACTGATTGGATTTATTGTAATAACTGACAAGGCTAATGGGATATATAAAAACGCCAAATAGTTGTTTATGTTGCTAAAATGACTGTTGTTTTTATTTTTGTTATAGCTGAAAAAGGAGATCAAGGAAGCGCACGAAGAACTACGAGCGTTATACGAAGAACTCCGAAGTTCGCACGAAAGCTTGGATTCAGTTGAAGTAGGAGAATTAGATTCTGACTCAGATTTTAAACCGGGGTGCCTCACAACGTTTGTGAAGAATTTCAGAGATGTACTGGAGGAGATGATTAGTGATAATATCACTAGAACTACGGTAGGTAGCACAAACATTAAATCGTTGAATTAACTTTCAAGCCCTTGGTAGGAGTGTTGGGTTTTGGTTTGACATGGTGAAGATTAAAGTCTATAAAACCTGTTGCTGCGGCTTGTCAAAGAGGGAAGTGGGTAGTTTAAGTTAAATGTCGTTTACACGCGCGAGAGCACGCTGGTCGCGGCTTCGCCACTCACTCGCGTCCTCGCGTGGCTCGCCCAAATAGGAGAGCTTGAATGCCCAGAGGCTATATATGGTGGGTGTTAACCAGACTTGCCCAAATGCTCACAAACAGTATTTTCAAATCCCAGATATTTAGCTGATCATTTTGATACGAAAAGGTCTGAGAAAGTATTCTTGTTGGGGCTTGACATACTTTTGTAGCTTCTTAAGAGACACGTGAAAACATGGAAAGCTTGTAGAAAGAGAGGTACGTATTAAATACTAAAAGATCTTGCTTAATGTTACCAACCCTTCGTGTTACAGAATTTGAAGCAACAACTTTGTAAAGCCCATGAGAGCATCGATAATCTTGAACAAGAACTCCAGGCGGCTACCTCAGAGTCAAGAAAGAAAGATGAAGACATTCTTAAGTTAAATGAGAAACTTCACGAAAGAAGTGAAGCCATTGAGAGGTTAAAGGAACAAAGAAATCAACTGGCGAAAGGAGAATGCAACAAATCACAGTTGGCTTTTGATATTATGTACAATGAGGCGGTAGAGGAAAGAAAAAATGCTTTAGAAAGGTAATAAGTAGTAGTTTATTAGTGCCACACAACCTAATCTATACCCTGGCCGGTTCTTCTCTATACATATTTCCATGTATTTATTTATTTATCTATTCATTGCTTTTATGGCGTATCCGTCAGGTTTATTTTCTATGAACAACACTAATTATCAGCACTGAAGCAAGCGTACCAACTCTGCGGTATGGCCAGTAACTTACGCATGCGCACATCCATATCACCCGGGCAGTGGCAGCCATGGAGAGCTGTTTCGCCCTTGGTACGTGTGCTTCAGTGCTGATAATTGATGTTATTTTCTATAGGGCCATAAGGCGATCCAAGTCTGCAAAACAATCCATAATTCTCATCCCTGATTTGCCGCAGCTTTCTTTATAGTTTTGATCTAAGAAGGGTTTTCGCTTTGTAAGCTAATCAGTTTAAAAAAGCTCTCTGTTTCACACCGATACAGTGTGGGAACCTCGATTTGACGAACCTCTGTATAACGAACGATATTTTACGCCCCAGTAAAAGCAAAATATATGGAAAAGAACCTCGTTATAGCGAACATATTTTGCCAGTCCCTTGGCCTTCGTTTTATCGAGGTTCCAGTGTACTTAAATGGTATCATGTTATCATTTTGTGAGTACTGTAATCGGAACTTTCGGTCGCATCATCATCGTCATCATCATAATCATCATTTATTACTGTACCAAGTTTCTGCTGGTCGTCATCATCGTGATCAGCATCGACGCATGCGCTTTCGGGCTTGTAGCTTCTTTCATTTCTTTTGTAGAAGTAATGGAAATCGTTGGAACAGATCTTTGTACAACTGTTGGGGCATTTTTGCATTGCCCAGTTCATTTAACTCAACGACTAACGTCCGGTTTTGTGATTTCAGGGAAAAAAAGATATCCGTGGAATTACAGAGAACAAAAGAAGACAGAGAGGAACTAGATCAGCAATTGAAGGAGGCCATTCATCAAAAACTACTACTTTCAGAACAGCTAGAGGATTGGCAGGTAGGTTGAATGGTCTAAGATTTGTGCAAATTATCGTAATACTTCCGGGGACCAATCGGCTCTTGTTTTTTGTTATCATTTCTTCCTTCAGAGGGCTTTCGAAAAGTAATACGAATGTTTCCTATCTTTTTCCCTAAATATCCAGCGATAATTGTTGTCAACGCGTGAGTCAGATGTTTAAACTCTTAATCCCTTATACCAAAATTTAGGTTCTCCTTTCTTACCCAGCTGGTTTCTTATACAGAAGAGGAGAAGTTGTATGAACATCAAAAGTATTTAACTTATGGTTATAGTGTACAACCCCGATTCCCCCAGCATTGATATTAAAAGGCGAAGTATGCTGCCGATCATCCTAAGGGATTGAAGGGTTTATGTATTAGTCTGCCGAAAGCCAAAATAACCTCTGTCTTTGTCTTTTTTTTAGTTTGATATGGCTGCCCTTATTGACGACCAGGTGCAAAAACAAATGAAATCAGCGGCGAAGGAACATGACGACAACGGAAGGAGAAGAAGAGTAACAGCTTTTACGCGACCAACACGCTGGCACTGGTCAAGCAATAGCAGCAGACGACAAAGCCATGTTATGTGATCACTGGTGATAGTATCGACACGGGTTGTTCCCGTACCGGGTTGCTCCAGAGATCTTCTAAAGTGATCTATGATGACGGTTTCAAGGTGTATCACATTCTAGTCTGGCACAAGTGGGATGTAATACAGCCCAGTCGGTTCCTAATGTGGTATCTAAACGATCATTCTCCGAATGCTAAACGTCCCTGAATTTTTGCAGGATCAGATTCAGGAGTTTCTCTTGTATTTCAAGACTTCTCATAACATCTTTTGTCTTTTTAAAAGTCTCATAATTCTTTCATTTATATATTTCTCTCAGTAGAGGGACTATAGTCAAACTTCAAGGTGATTTTTTCAGAGCTTTATGCGTGCGTCTTTCTTATCCGTTTATACCATGTCACTTGTCTTTAACTGATAAGGCACAACAGTCATGCCGTCTAAAAAGAAAATGATGTATTTATTGACTATTTGCAGGGCCTTTAACCGTTGGTGAGTCTCTGTTAGTTTTAATACAATCATATTACGTAAGTTGTCCAAGATGTTTACATTTAAAAATGACCCAACGTCATTAAATTATTTATGTCAATATCTTTATTTACTGTAAATTCAGATGGTAAAAAATGAGGCAATTGCATTGTTTTGTGTGTTTTAACAGAGTTTCTGGTCTCTCTGTTGTAAGATACTCCAGTTGTACCCTGTCCGTGTGATAAAATATGACTTGTCAGTCTTAGTTCATTAAATCCGAAATGTTTCGATGCGATGAAATGAAGCCCTCTGTTCCCCTCCAAGCGCCACACCCATCGTTTACAAAGGTCTCTCTTCTCTTCCCTGTGGTATGAGAGTTGTGGCCTTCTGAAGTAATAAAAAGTGGTCAGCTATGTTCTTACTGACTTAGCGACCGCTTTTAGAGAACTGCAAACATAGAACAAAGTTGGGGATTTTAGCTTATTCTCGTTGTAAAAACCTGTCGAATCTCGTGCGTGTCGCCGTAATACAGAAAACAAAAGATATAAGAAAAAGAATGGAAAGAAATAATAAACAGGAACCAAACAAAACATCGCGGTTTTTTACATCTTGGTAAACTCTAAATTTTCTAAACTGAGCGTTTCATAAAATGATGTTCTAGTAATTATACCCGAAATTTAATTTAAGGTTAATTTTATGTGTAAAGCATATTTAATACTTAGTTTACTAACAAGCACTGTAAAGATTACTAACGGTGTTTATAGATCGGGGGCGCAAGAGGGGAGAGAAAACGTAGGGGACTCCCGCGCGATTGAATAGGGAGCTAATTTTTAAGAATTTTGGAGGCCCCTTCCAGGAGTCACTATCTTGTTTTGCTGTGGAGCGAATGGAATTGTCTTTCATTCATAATAAGAGAAACTTACTATTTTCTTAGTAGCCATTTTTCTCGCATACACTTGCCTTGCTTGTCAGAACAAGTGAAGGATCTGCTAGATCCTGGCGCGGTTTATTAGATGGTTTGCCTATTTTTGTTCAGTTACTATAACTACGTACTTTTAACAACAAACTGTAGTAGAAAGAGCATTACAAATGACAACGGTGTCGCTCTCTGAAATTAAGTCAAACTTGAAACAGAGAAGACGGGCTGTTATTTTCATACTTAAATCAATTTTGCGATCGTTAAGAAAGCGCTTAAGTTGCCTGATAGCGCAGCCTCGACCTCTTCTTTCATGTGGGAGTCTCCAGGGCGAAAGGGCTGAAAAGAACTGAACTTTATAGGTTCTTTCACATGTCTCTTAGTTTGATCTCTTGGTTTGATATATAGACAGACGAAGTCAGGGCAGCAGTTTTAATTTAGTGATTAAATTACTGTGTAAACGTTTAAATAACGGCTCCAATTTTATGTGATATAGTAATTAACTCAGAGTTGTAAAATGTCTTTTAATGCATAGAACGTGCACGTAAAATGTAGAAAATGTATGTCATACGTTTTGGAAGTGTAATTGAATTATAACGAAAGATTTATGGCTTTGAAAGCTTAGTTTTATCAACAGATAAAGATGTTGACAAATAAAGGAGTATTTTGACAGTGGTTAAGTTTTTAGTATTAAAATTATCTAGAAAGCAACTGTATTTAGTTCTCAGTTGTTTCATTTTTGTTTCTAGGCCGCAATTATGGAACCGAACTTTATCGCTTGTGAAAAATGACAAGAATATGTATTGGAAAGGGTGTTTCCAACTAAGAATCATTTTTAAAGCCAGACATGAAAACAGCAGCTTCTTATACGCAATCAAAACATCATTTATTGACTTAAAATCAGTTGAACATTTTTGTTCTACAGACATTTTAAAATATATCTCTACCTATAATGAATTTCTGGCCTCATTTAGCACAGAATACTATAACCACAAACAGACAAAAGAAAAGCGTAGCGCCCACACTTTTCCTGGCTTACCATAACAACAAAGTTTCAATGAAAGTTAACTGCTAACTTTGCTTTACATCCTATTGAAATCTCACTTGTTTCTTCTCCGTGTTACCAGCCGTAGTACTTCCCTTTCTAAGTGCCCCTCTCAGGTTCTGGTTTCGAATTAAGCTAGTGTGCGCTTTTCCTTTTCCTTTGCAAGCTCTCAAATTGTTTAAGCCAACTTGTTTTGCTTTAGGATACCTTTGAGAGCTTTCTTTTGTTGTTGAGAGTCTTAGTGGTCTTGTTTTTGCACTATTCTGCAAAGCAAGGTTCACTAAGTATGGCTTATAGGTCCTTGTTTCTTGAGGTTCAAGGTCACTCCCAGATCTTTCTTGACCAGCGTACTCGTCAACTTGCGCACTCGCAGTGGGTCTGGTTTCCTTAGGGTCTACTTGAGGGGAACACATTCTTTCCCTGGAGAAGAGATTCAACTGTCGCGAAGGCACTGTATTTTTAACAGACTTCTCTGTTGTGGGTGGGCTCGGGGTTAGAGTGTTGAGATATACAGGAATTGAAGGCAGGTTGGCCGACGAGGGTGCCTGGTCCTTAGCCTTGGGAGGTGGGATGACATCTGGCACTGGAAAGAATAAAATCATTTCTTCATAAAGATGCAATAGGTTACTTAAGTGGTTGCACATGATCGAGTAAACTGCATGGAAATGACTGAGGATATCCTAAATAACTGCAACCTTCATTTGGGGGGTTGGTTGAAAGAACCTAGTTCATTCGGTTAACGAAAGATTTCACAATTGCTTTCGTTTTTATGGTTAAGCTATGTGTCTGCATGAAATCTTGCCCCACCACGGGACCACCTGTTGCCGCATTTGAACAATTTTCATTCGTGCCAATGGTGTGACAGAGTTGGACTGTAAAAGCCAGCGAATACCTTTGACTTGCGTCAAGATTAACTTTGCACAACTGTAAGCCACTGCCCACGGTAGACATCAACTTTACTCTGCCTTTGACGCTAACCTTTTGTTTTTTCACCCCTGACGAAAATTAATGACGACCTTTACCACCTAAGACCATATGGCAAGGCCAGAGTATAATCTTTACCACTAGGAGTATATGCAAAGGCGAGTGGCAAAGATGATATACGGTGCAGTACATTTTCTCAACCAATCGGGAGATTACCCGGAAAGCACCGCGACTGTTGGCACACGTCATATTGTGTTTTTAGACGCGATAACTACCACCCATTCCCTTAAGTCCTATCTGGTTATCGGATCATCTGCGTCTGAGAGCTTCACCGGAGTACCATGAAACTACGCGCACTAAAGGTTCCTTAACATGTCTCACCTGCGGGTATAACGCTAGCCCTGCCTTTGGACGAAAGGTTTGTTACGTACTTCCATACCCTTTGCGTTCCATCCCCGCGGAAGTCACTCTTCGTCTGCCCAGTCTGCTGTAACCCCTGTAGTGCCTTGTTCATAATGACATAAGTTTCGCGACAAAGATTAGTGGGTCTGCTCTGGTAACCAGTCTCAGCGAGGATCTGCGCTACTTTCACGGCCAGTTCTCGTTTCTTTGGCAACTTTGGTTGAGATGTTGGGGTAAAACTTCGAGGGCATGGCGTGGTACTTCGAGGTGGTTCAACGGCCAGTGTCTCTCCCATTGGGCTTTCGATTCTAGTGGAATCCAGTGCAGGGGACTTTGACGAAAGTCCAGGATCCCTTTTGTGTAGAAGCTTGGCGGTGGTGTGGGGTTCCGGTGTGTTACCCGAGGAGGACCAGCCATGTTTAGGAACTGAAAAGGAAGTGATAACGTACCAGATATAAGTTGCTTGAAGCTAACTATGCATTTTATTACCCGCAATCCGAAAACTGATTCCAAAACTTTATATAGCAAAATAAAGAGGTAATATACAGTGAGAAGATATGCCGATTTAA